TGATTTCAATTTTATCTAATTCTTAAAATTGGGCAATTCGTGCATGCCTAACATTTTTTATTGGTGTAAAAAAAAAAGTTAAAGAGAGATAGAAGGTGGGTTGGTGGATTAGGCAAAAGGAACGTGGTGAATGAGGGTGGTGGGAGTGGGAAAAGATGAGTGGATAGCAATGATTAGTCTGGGAGGAGAGCCAAGGTAGTAGAAGAAATGATTATTAGGTGAAAGCAGTCCAGAAAGGACTCAAAATGAAAAGACGAAACTTAAAGATACATTTGGGGACCTGGAGAGAATTTTGAGAAAATGCGCTTTCAAAGCAAAGCATAAGGACAAAATATTGCCCAGCAGTGTTTTGGACTAACCAGTGGAAAAGAGAGCATGGACTGGAGAATGGAATCTAGTAAGGTTCAATTATTTTGTGAGTGATGTTAGGAAAAGGATTGAAGACTTGCTTGCCAAATTTTCAGATTCCAAAAAGATAGGAATAACTAATATATCGGACAGAATCATAATTTTTTGAAGGTATGAATATCCTGGAAGGAGGGCCTAAAGACAACAATATTGTTGCAATGGTTTAAAAATGTGACACAATACACCTACAATGTTTTTCAAGTTACCTAATTATAAGTCTTGATTAAGCCTCAGGGTTTTGGTATATCATAACATTAATGTGGCCAACTGTGAGATGTTACCGTAGAAAAGAAATTTTAGACACAGAGTATCTGACTAGTATCAGCAATTGTTCTAAGCAGTTGGTTTAAGTGCAGGGCAATGATAAATTACAAAAGTAAATTAGGAAGGTGCCAAGGGAAAGAAGCCAGAATGTTGAGGATGTAGGCAGTACTTGGGAGCTACAATGAGACACCTCAAGAATTTGGAAACAAGATTGCCCTTTGAGAATTAAGTGGGGGAAAAAATCCACTTACATGAGTGGGATTGACCAGCTACTGGACTAACCATCATACTATCTGTACATGAGTGACTACAGGTGAGTTAAATATAGGGCGGTAGGGCTGGAATGTGATTCTAATAGAGGAGGAAGAAATCTAATCAATAGTGATATTCATTGTCTAGAGAAAGACTGGGTAAATGCACTTGGTAAGGACAGCATAGAGCACACAATAATTCCGACTAACATGGGTTATAATTTGCATTGTAAATCAATAAGTCAACACTCTAATTTATACCTCTGAGTCTTGCATTTGGATAGTATTTATCATGTACTGACAAATTTGAGTTTCCAGACCTAAACCTGGAAATGTGAGGTTGTATGACCTTTCTCTGCCATAGGCTCCTTCTTTGTCATGGAAATACCTAAGGACACTAGGACATTAAGGATGTTTAGCTGAGAAAAGAGAAGCTACAGGTGAGCCCTGATACCTATACCTATCTTTCTATATTTAAGGTTCTCGCAGGAACAGAGTTACACTCTTTTGATTGTTGGGGCAATGAACAGACCAAATAACAATGTACAGAAAATACAAAGGGCTGCGATAAACATTAGGGTGCATGTGCCCCCTTTGAATCAGCATTTTTGTACCCTTTGGATAAATACCTAGTAGTGTAATTTCTGGGTTGTAGGGTAGTTCTCTTTTTAATTTTCTGAGGAACCTCCATACTGTTCTCCAGAGTGGCCGCACCAGTTTGCATTCCCACCAACAGTGCAGAAGTGTTCCCCTTTCTCCACATCCTCACCAATATCTGTTGTTTCCTGAGTTGTCAAGATTTCATCTAGCCAGAAGGAGGAACACACTAAAAATTTTAAATTCTGACAGTGGAATAGTTATCTCTTAGTAGGTTTTATGGTTATGACCACAAGCAATGGATAAAGTGTGGAAAACTACAGCAAAGGACTATCTCTTTGGAGCACCATTGTCATGACAAATCACCCTCTGCTGACTTCTTTCCTAGAACTATGGAGAAAGCTCGAGTCAGTGTCTCCACTCCTTTCCTCTCTGCTCTCCTGGCAAGGGCAAGGTAGAAAACTTTGACTAAAGGCTCCATCAAGGCTTCATGCAATGGAAAAGGGAAATTTGTCAAAGGGAAATATCAGAAACTTACTATGTTCTCATCACTGCAAATGTAGAAGGAGAAGTCACCTATTTGTCAGGTATCCTAGAGAAGGGATTTCTATGCTAGAAGGAAGTTGGCAAAGATGATTTAAAAGGAAGTTCTTTGTTTTTAAAAAGGAGTTGATATATTATTTTTGCGCTCCTTCCCTTATGTTCATCTGTTTTGTCTCTTAAAGTCCCCATATGAGTGAAACAGAAGAGACTCATAAATATGGAGAACAAACTTAGGGTTGCTGGAGCGGTTGTGGGAGGGGGAATGGGCTAAATGGGTAAGAGGCATTAAGGAATCTACTCCTGAAATCATTGTTTCACTATATGCTAACTAATTTGGATGTAAATTTTAAAAAATAAAAAATAAAATTAAAAAAATTAGGGATACAAGAAACAAACAAACAAACAAACAAAGGAGTTGAGAAGTAGAATTGATTACTGAGATTCAGGGTCATTAGGAAAGTCATAACAAGGGAAAGATGGGATGCAGCTAACAGGGAAGTGAGCCACTGAGGAGACATAGTGGTTCAGTGGACTAATCACTGGCAATGGCCATTGAATGTCATGGGCATTGGTGCATCATGGGAAGTTTCAAACAATGGGAGACATGCAATAAAATCTTCTTTAGGAAGTTTAATTAGGTAACTTCTAGTACATTGAACCAGAGAACAGTAAGACCAAAGGCAAGAAGATCAATTGTTTTGAAGTCCTGAGCCAGAGTGATAGCAAAAGGAGAAGGAGAAGGTAATTCAGGAAAAGGAGAAGAAGGAGAAAGGGAAGAGACGTTTCTCAAGGAGTGTCCACAGAATAATAGGGAAAGGAGAGAGTGAGAGTAAAAGGTCAAGAGTGACTCCAGGTTGCAAACCTGGAGATCTAAGAAAGTGATAGTACAGCTGGAAGAAAGATGATAACTTCTAATTTAGATAGATTGAATTTGAGATAATGGATATCAACTAGTTCAGGTTTGAGGCTTAGGGGGAGATGCCAAGGCTGGAAACATAGATCTTGGATGTAGAAGTTTCACTACAGGAGGTTATATGAATAGATGATTTTCTATAAGAACAGAGTATATTAATTATATACTCTGCAAAAGGGCAACTATGTATTTTTAGAGAGAAGTAATCACTAAGAACGAGAACCATAGAAGTCATTTCAGGAATAATAAACCTTGAACTGGCTTTTAAAAGAATGGAAAGGGAGAAGGAATTCCACACTGAGACTTGCTTATAACTAGGACTGAATAGCAGACATAAAAATGGATCGATCTGCACAATCCTTCTAAACACTAATTCTTTTTATTCTGCCATCCATCTGCTCATGCCACAGTTACAGATAGAGCAGTGGAAGAAGTGAGATGTGACACCAGTTAGTAGGTGAAGAACACAGGAGAATGACTGGCCCTCCAGATCTGCCTGGTAGGACGCTGATCTGAGGGGACAGATGACACCCTGATGACAGGGGACCTGCCTGCCTTAATGGGTAAAGGTGGCGACACATAACAGAACTCACCAGTTCTAAAGTTCTGAATTTGACATCTGTTAAAAATAAGCAACTGATGAAGGAAACAAAAGAAATCACTGACACTAGTGACCTCTAGTGGAAACAGGCTTCAGGGGAATATGTATATATATATTTGTATTAGATTAGATGAAATTCAGTGTCATATTCAGCCAATTCATTTCTGCAGGAGTGTGAAGGAAGGGACTGCTAGAAATAGCACACAAATATGGCCCAGAAAGTGGAAATGTACCAGGAATACTTGTGTTTTGAGTCAGACTAAGTTGATTAATGTTCTGAAAAAAAAATGTGGACACATAATTGCTGTCAAAGACATTAGCTGAGAAAAGAGTGTGTGGACAATGACTTCATTGGCCACCGGGGGGATTTAGTATGTTCCTGGCGGCCAATAAGTGAGCACGCTGACAGTCTTGAGGAGGAAGCCACACTGGTTGCTGGTACACCTTTTAAACATTAAAATGTGGAAGGAAGCTGTGATCTCTGAAATGTGTACACATTTGGTAATTCAGTATTTTATGGCCCAAGTCCTGTCTCTTTCCTGTCTGCCTGGGGGCTGTCTGCACCAAGTATTAGCAAATGCTGTTGACACAAGAGATGCTTGGGAGACTTGGTCTTTGAAATGGGACTGATCTCATGGAGGGCCCATGCACAACCAAGAAGGGCAACATCAAGCCACACTGGGCACTCCACATCTACCCTCTTAGGGAAGCACTTTCAGAATATACAATCTTGACATTGAAGAGTAGCAAAGGAATGGGAGACTTGAGGGAGATTATAAATTTGTCTGATCACACTGGGGGCTAATGATGAGTGAGTTGAATTAAATGGGGGTGGGGGTTAGGAAAAGGAGTAAAAAAGTAAGATTTTTTTTTTTTTTTTTAATGGAGATTCTATAGAAATACACAGAATCAGTGTTATCAAGCCCCGGGCAACTGTCACTTCTGGCAACAGAGTGATCCTTGTCCTTGTCTTATGTTACCTATGCGGCAGGAGGCATCATCCTGCCTTCTTTCATTATTCAGCCTCCTCCACACACCCTGCTTTGTTTACTGATGCTGTTGGCAGCTTGGCCCATCTGCTTTTCCCAGGATTTGCTCCCTCTCTTCTCCATGTCATTTCAAGGATAGAGAAACAGCCCTTAGATAAGCTTTTGTGATAATTCCACTCTGGTCTGCAATTTCCAGAGTTCTGATCTCCATGAATGGGCAAAAGGCAGCCTAGCCTCCCGCTAGGTCAAGACTGCTCTGGTGTTATTTCTTAGACGCCAAATTAAACCACAGAGCAGAACCAGTATTAAGGGAACCAGTATTAAGTAGTCTTTCCTCTTTCCCCTGCAAAGTTCCTTTCCCACAGGATACGTACAATCCTTTGGCCCTAGAATAAGTCATTTTGGGAGTCTAGTTTAAAAACTAGTTTACTTACGGAAGATGAGCTAATTATTTTAATTTGTTCCAGAGCTTCTGTCAGGCTGTCTTCAATCTCAGAGTCATCTAAAGAGAAGAGGTCCCCGGCGCGGGAAAGATCTTTTTGTCCTAAAACCAGTCTGAACAGCTGATGCATGATGGGAAATTTGATAAGCAATTGACCTTCGGCAGCCCCAGGACCACGTGTTTCAGTTATCACAGGTTAGTAAGACAGAAACATGCAGCAGGAAGTATATACTTCGTAGTCCTTGAAAGGTCATTTTTCTCCAGAATTTGAGGTCTTCTTTGACACTCTCTGGAAAAGAAACAAATGAAACAATGTTGCTGTTAGAATGGCATGGGCTCAAAATGTAACCTCTCCACCTAGCAGAGAGAGGGAAGACAGTTTGGAAATGTGCAGAGAGTCACAGATCCTGGCTTGGTGATCTTCAAATGAGCTCTTCCCTTATTTATTTTCTTTTCCCCCCGGAAAAATCCTGTCAAAAATGTGTAGGTTTCTCTGGAATTTAACAGGAATGTTAAAAAGCTGCTTAAACCTCACACTTATTTTTCTCCTTTCTGTATCCTTCTCCGTCATTCTATGCCACAAGGAAACAAGTGGACACCCAACCCTTGCCATATTTCCCCCAGATTCCCATGGAAAGCAAACAGAAAAGGGCAATGAAAGGAAAGAGGGAACACAGAAAACACCCACTGCCTGGTTTTCTCTTTTTTCCTGGACATGGAAACCAGTGCTTGCCTTCTTGGCCAGGTTTCTTTCCTACACTGACAAGAGAAACTCCCCCCAGCATTGCGAGGCAGGGTAAAGAGGAAGGGCTTTGGGATCAGGCAATCTTCCCTCTCCTCCCACAGTTGAAATAATAAAGTCCCACTATACTTCTTACTCAATTAACAGTCCACAGAGAGAAGCGCAATGGCACAAATTAAATATCTGATTTTTCTCATCAGCTCCCTTCTGGGCCTAATAAAATCACGGACCATTTGCAATGGTAGAGACCTTAGCAATCATTTATTTAATGACTTCCCGAAGGCTCCACAGTAACTGCAGGAGCGCTGTTCCCCTGACTTCAGGCCAGCGGGCTTCCCCTATGGTTTACAATGAAGTGGAATCATCTCGTGTAACTTAAAAATGAAGACCCACGTGCAAAGAGTAACAGCTGAGGGTGACTTATTTCATATAAGAATATAAGCAATAGGCAAGTCTGCCCATTCAGAAGTCTGAATGTGTTCCCCAGAACGATTTTGAAAGGGACGGGGAGTCTGCTGCTTCCTCGGGTGATCTTAAACCTCCCCTCTGAGCTCCCACTGTGTGGGCACCTCTGTGTGCTGAATGCAATTTTATTTTTTTATTTTTTATTTAAAAAAAATTTTTTTAACGTTTTTATTTATTTTTGAGACAGAGACAGAGCATGAACAGGGAAGGGTCAGCAAGAGGGAGACACAGAATCTGAAACAGGCTCCAGGCTCTGAGCTGTCAGCACAGAGCCCGACGCGGGGCTTGAACTCACAGACCGCGAGATCATGACCTGAGCCGAAGTCGGCCGCTTAACCGACTGAGCCACCCAGGCGCCCCCTGAATGCAATTTTAAAGGCTAAAGATACACACTCTCCATGCAATATGGTCTCTAAATGCAAGCCAAATCTTTCATCAGGCACTCAGTGCAGTTTGTAGGCCATTGAAGGGAAGTGGAGGGTAGTATTGCCTATGTGCGACTTTTGTGTTGCTCACCAGCTTCAGAAAAATCATACCCAATACTTATACATGCTTGTCTGTATGCCATGTGCTGTTCTAGATGCTTTGTAAACATTAACTCATTTAACCTTCATAATAACTATATGAGGATATTTCATTCCCATTTCAATGGTGAGGAACCAAGGCATTAGATAACTTGCCCAAGCCATACAGCCAGTAAACTGTACAGCTAGGATTTGGATCCAGAGATTCCAGTGCGACCCTCAAGTTCATAACCACTATCATATGCTGGTTCCACATAAGGCTCCATGTGAGGCTACTGTTATAAGTAAAGACCCTCAGAGCATTATTAACATTTGAGGATGAAGATATCGGTAGAGTCATAAAGCATGAAAATGAATTTCTCTTTCCTCCTACACTGACCCTGCATCCTTGCCCTTCTATGCCCTGGGCTTTAGGCCTACCAGACAGCAGGCGAGTCACAAGGAACAGAAGCTTAGAGGAAGAGAAAAGCAGGAGAGTTGGGGATGAGGGGGAGAATTCCATGGGGTGGAGAGAGAGCAGAGAGCCCTACAAGTATGTGCCCCGGCAAATGTGGAAGGGCGAGTTACAATATCTACAGGGAAAATTAGGACGGCATGTTCCCCTTAGGACAGAATTTTCCCCTTAATGCATTCTCCCCATAGCCTCAGACATTTACAGTGACAGGGTCTCAGTGAAATAATATTCAGAAATATAAGATATTAGACGGACACTGGATATGATTTCCCCTTGACCAGTCAGCTTCTTGGTCAATATCTGGCTGTTCCTGAAGCACATTCAGCTGTCCCAAATGTATCGCAGCTGGAGTTCTGAGGAGGACAGAAATACATGCTGGTGGAGGGGAGCACCCCCGGTTTTTCCTGGGCTCCTTTTTCCTTTATTTATTTTGAGAGAGAGAGCAAGTGGGGGAGGGGGGAGAGAAGGAGATAAAGAGAATCCCAAGCAGGCTCTGCACTGTCAGTGCAGAGCCTGACACAGGGCTCAAATCCACAAACCGTGAGACTATGACCTGAGCCGAAAATAAGAGTCCTGTTGAGCTCAACCAAATGAGCCACCCAGACATCCCTGGGCTCGTTCTTTACTCTCCACACTTACAATGACACCTGGTATGAAGTCCTACATTCATGCTATCACTACTGAGTGTCCATAATGTGCAAAACATTATTGTTCAAAACACTGCCATCCGTGAGAAATTTTACACATTAAAAAGTGGGGTAGGGACAGGTGAAACTTACACCAAACATTTTACAATACAAGGATGACCCAGAGAAAAGTCTCTTGTATACTATAAAGGAAGTTTGGGGAAGTACAAGGGAGAGAGAGATCTCTCCTAGGGAAAGATGATGAGGAATGACTTTGTGAAGGAAATGGTGTTTGGGCTAGACATTTTTAGGATAGATTTCATTCAATGTACATGTGCTGTGTACATACTAAGTCAGACGCTTGTCTGCAGACTGAGATTCAAGTCCTAGCCTGGTCACTCTGGTTGTTGGACCTTTGGTTCATGCTTTTCCCTTCTCTGAGCCTCAATTTCTTCATCTGCACAATGGGGCTAATACATGCCTAGTCTATCTCACCAGGTTGTTTTGAAGATCAAAGCTAAAACACATGAAAGAGCCCCTTGTCAAATAATGACACCAACAGCTAATGTTTAGCAGGTGTTTACCATGTGGCAGGCACTACTATGAGTGTTTCGTAAGGATTGAGTCACTTAATTCTCACGACGATTCCATGTGATGAGAAACTGATGTTCAGAGAGGAAAGCAACCAGCCCAGGAACACCCAGGGAGTAATAAGTTGCAGAGTCAGAACCGAAGGCAGTTGCTCTCCCAGAACAAAGCCCTGTCAGTTGCGTACATGACCATGTGTGATAACTATTAAACTGCCTCCCTTCCATCAGTCTTCATTTAAAGAGCACCCCACATGGTATACTATACTGCCCCCTTCCTGCCTAAGGATCAGCAAGGCATGTCATTTATTTTTCAGCAGCTCTGGTCAATGTTTTGCTCAGGTGTCTGGCTTCTTTCTCCTGTTGATCTCTCTGCTACGGCAGAGAAGGTCAGCGACAGATCAAATTCAACCTCATCCTCTGAGAAATTCCCTGCCCTCATGAACGCCACAGTCCTGTGACCTGTATGCCTGTATACACGTGTTCACCAAACACACACAAGCACACACATATGTACACAAATGCACATATGGGTGCACCTCAGATGCTTTCTATGCACCAAGCTCTTTGCCAGATACTTTCTTCTCAGTTCTCCCATCAACCCTGCAGGTAGATATTATTACCAAAAAGGAAACAGGACTGGTGAGATACCGTGCCAAAGGTTACACACAGAGCCAAGATTCACACTAAGTAGGTCAGCTTCCAAATCTCGTACTTTTTGAATTACAAAAACTGGCTTATAAAATTCCTCTTACTCCCAGCTTTTGCTCTCCTAATTTCTGTCCTTAATCTTTAAGGGACCCTAAATTGGAGCCCACTTACTCATTATTTGTAATATATATTTTTAAGCAGATATTGGTTGGCAAGTCAAGTTTCTGTAAGGAGAAGCAGACACCACACAAAAAAATGATTATGCACCAAGGGTGACACATTTCAGGGAGTCCCAGCCGTCCCCACAAACTGGCTTTACCTGCGTGCTACTCCTCAAAGGCAGGCAGCTTGCTGTTACTCAGCTATAGGTTTTGAGCCTGGGCGCGAGACTCGGGCAGCGGACTCCGAGGGCACAGCAGATGGAATCCCCTCAGCTCAGTGAACCTGAAGTTGTTCATTGCGGTGGCGGTAGTGCTGGGTGAAGAATTCAAGGAATGCAGCCTGATGCCACTGGCAGCTCCAGAGCTGGTCAGGTGACAGGCTGCACCTCACCCAGTGCAGAGTCGCCTCTGAGTGAAATGCTCTGTTTCCTGGGGTGAAACAGAAAGCCTGCTCCAGTAAAGTAGAGTTGTTTTTAACAGAGAAAACAAAACTCCCTGTGTTCGTGAAAATCTATACTTTCCCTGGGAAGAATGGGGAGGGGGTGGGAGGTGTTGGGGAGAGAAAGCCACGCAGGAAACAGTTTCAGCAGAAACTCAAACAGGTGAATGGAATGACTATTGGGAGCCATTTCACAAAGCCTGGGGAAGAGAGGACTTCGGCTTAATGAACACCTCCCTCCCTCTCAAGATTTCACACCCAGAATTTGAAACACAGAGCGTTTGTCCACTAAGAGTCCCAGCTCCTAAAGCACTGATCCTCTTGTTCTGCCTCTAGATTAATATTGTTGAAAACGTAAGGATGGAGAAAGTTGCTGCTAAAAGGAACAAACTACTAAACAAAAATGCATACCTTCTTTTCCACTCTATTTGCTGGGAGGTTCATAAAAATCCACTTGGATTTGCCCTTTAAGTCAGATTTG